AAGTGATACAATCTAATTTCTACTTTACCCGGTAGCTTCTCAAATAAGAGTTTCATTTCATCACAATTATTTCTTCTTAATAAAATAGAATTTTGTCTTAACGGCAGATTTCAAGTAATTACATGTCCATGAAAACCCTCTGTTTCTTTTCCAATCAAATTTGGAAAAGTTATACATATCACTTGCACAACCCATGTACTCAGGAACCCCAAACCTTATCACAATTCACTTGTTAATAACTTCATATTCATAATATAAGTAAATAAAGAAAACATAGCATAGCAATAACAATTTAAAGATGTAATGGCTGAACTTCTGCTATAATATAGCCTTGGAAAGTAAAAGACACCAACCTTTGTCAGATTACAACCTTTGGTGTGGTCTCTCTAAATGGTGTGAAGTCTGCATAAAATGAAATAGACAATAGAGGTGAAGGTGGTTGGAGAGAGTAATGAAATTCAAGTTAAAGAGAAGCTACAAAGAAAATTGGAAAACAACATATTTTAGTAGAAGTAGTATCAGTATTTTTCGATTTCTTACTAAGTATTTTAGTAGCAACAATGGATTTACTGCTAGAACTTTTAGGAGTGTCTTCCTTAGATTTTTTATTAACTACATCCTCAGATTTGCTATTTGTCTTAGAATCTTTCAATTTGTTTCCATCTTTGGACCTTTTACTAGACTTCAGGGAGACACTTTTTGATCTACTATTCGTCTTTATTCCACCACTTCTGGAAGAAAAATTCATCCTTCCCTGCTTGGTGGTTTCACCATCTCTTGTAAAACAAACAAACAACAAAATTAAATATAATCAAGTAGAGAACTAAAACAAGCAAGGAAAAGAGCACCGAGATTGGACAATCGCACTTCATCGACCAGAAGATTGGATTGATACTTTTTGGCAAGCTCAACATCTTCTAGATCTATGCTTTCATTTTCTTCTAATCACCATCATCAAAACTCTGAAAAGGCCAAGGAAAATTATAATCCAACAAAGCACGTAATAATCCTATCATTCATACACAGTCCAAGTAAAAGAAATTGAACAATACTGTCAATGGTGTTGGTTGTGACACCCAGGCAGTGACGAGGGTGGGTGGTCGCCGGTGTAAGAGACTTGAAGTGCAAGAGGCACGAAGTGCAAAAGGCACAAACAAAGAGCGGCTCCTGGCAAGCTTCCAGTGGAAGGGACACATGGAAGAATCGAACATACACCAGAATGAGAGGGTTCTAGAGACTGTATAGGTATGGGACTATACAGTTGAATTATAGCTTAAAGTAATTGATTTGGCTACTCATATCACCAAAATGTATTTGCTTTTCGGTAGCCTAACCCATAATAACTCCATGGTTAAGCGTGCTTAGCCTGGACTAATTTAGGGATGAGCTCGACTAGTTCGGTGGCGTAATTTTGATGTTTTTTTTTCTTCTTTTGTGTGGTTATTTTTCCTTGCTTATCTTTTTACATTATAAATGATAAGGATGTCGGGACGACCAAGAAATCCTACTCCAATCAATGCTACTGCGGAGCTGGCGCAAGCAATGCGACAGATTGCTCAGGTTTTGCAAGAACAACAGGCTGAGCAGGCACCCAGGCCGAGAGTGGGTATGAACAAATTTCTACATCACAGTCCTGCGAAGTTCAATGGCAAGGCAACTCTATATGAAGCGGATGACTGAATTTGCAACCTTGAGAAGATATTTGAAGCGATCGAGTGCATTGAGGGGCAAAAGTTAGTGTTTGCTACATATATGTTGGCAGGGGAAGCTGAGTACTGGTGGCGTGGGATGCGGAGGTGCATGGATACCCGAGGGGAAGTTGCTACTTGGGAAGATTTCAGAGCTAGATTCTTGGAGCGTTACTTTCCGACTAGAGCTAAGCAGCAACGAGAGTCGTAGTTTCTGGCTCTTCAGCAGGGAAGTATGTATGTGCAAGACTACAATGAGAGATTCAAGTATTTGGCTCGTTTCTATACTCAGTCGAGGATTGGAAGTGTAGGAGGTTTGAGAAGGGATTGCGCCACCATCTTTTGAAGGCACTTGTTCACCTGAAGATTAATGAATTTCCAGAGTTAGTGGAGCAGGCCACAATAGATGAGAGGTTGGATGAGTCTGGGCGTGTGATGAGGAATCAGAAGGGAAGCTTTTCCAAGGGCAAGTAGCAGAAGAAACCGTACGAGAGGCCGCAACAGTTTAGGTTAGGTTTGTTGAAGTGCTTTGAGTGCGGCGAAGATCACATCCGAAGAAATTGTCCAAAGCTGAGTGACATCAAGAAGGAGGTGAGGACGTGTTTCACATGTAATAAGCCTGGGCATATCTCTCTTAATTGTCCTCAGAAGAGGTCATTTGGTGGAACGCCTCAGAAGTTAGCTAATGGTGGAAAGTCGCAGGCTGCGGGTAAAGTGTTTGCCATGACGGGAGCAGAAGCCGAGAAGTCAGGTAACCTGATACTTGATACTTATTCTTTGTTTGGTAGAAATGTGCATGTCCTGTTTTATTCGAGTGCGACGCACTCGTTTATATCATTTTTTTGTGTGGAGAATCTTGAACTCTCTATGTTTGACTTGGGGTGCGAGCTTGTTGTCTCTACTCCAACATCTGGACAAGTTTCAACCAGTTCAATCTGTGTTGGGTGTCCGATCGAAGTGGCAAGTCACAAGTCCAGAGTTAACTTGGTGTGCTTACCGCTTGGAGGTCTGGACGTGATCTTGAGGATGGATTGGTTAGCTGATAACCATGTGATGATTAACTGTGGACGTCAGAGGGTAGTCTTCCAGGAACCAGAAGGCATTAAAATGTCAACATCAAAGGAAGTGGTACAAGATCTCAAGAGTAGAGCTGTTTGCTTTATGTTGATAGTGAAAGACAGAAGAAGAGCATAGACGAGCAGATCAGTGGAATACTAGTAGTGGAGGAATATGATGATGTTTTTCCTAAGGAGGTATCAGGTTTGCCGCTGAGTCGTGAAGTGGACTTTGCAATAGATCCGATGCCCGGTGCAGGGCCAGTATCTGTAGCTCCATATCGTATGGCTCCAGCGGAGTTAGTAGAGTTGAAGAAGCAGATTGAAGATTTGTTAGAGAAAAAGTTCATCAGATCAAGTGTGTCTCCATGGGGTGCGCCGGTGTTGCTAGTGAAAAAGAAAGACGGAAGCTTAAGGTTATGTGTGGATTACCGGTAGCTTAATAAAGTCACTATCAATAACAGGTACCCATTGCCAAGAATTGATGATCTCTTAGACCAGTTGAAAGGATCTGGAGTGTTTTCAAAGATTGATCTACGGTCAGGATATCATCAAATTCTTGTCAAGCCTGATGATATGCAGAAGACAGCGTTTCGCTCACGCTATGGGCACTACGAGTATGTTGTAATGCCTTTCGGTGTGACGAATGCTCCATCTATATTCATGGATTACATGAATCGTATCTTTCGTTCTTGTTTGGATAAGTTTGTCATTGTATTCATTGACGATATTCTTATCTACTCGAAGAAACAAGAGGAACATGCTGAACATCTGAGAATAGCGTTGGAGATTTTAAGGGCGTACCAATTGTATGGCAAGCTGTCAAAATGTGAGTTTTGGTTGGATGAAGTTCAATTCCTTGGTCATGTGATATCTGCTCAAGGAATATCAGTTGATCCAGCTAAGGTTGAAGCTGTGTTGAAGTGGGAGCGTCCTACATCGGTGTCGGAGGTAAGGAGTTTTATTGGACTAGCAGGTTACTATTCAGAGATTTGTAGAGAGTTTCTCCAAGATAGTAGGTCTTCTAACTCAGTTGACGCGGAAGGACCAACCGTTTGTCTGTACTGATCTGTGTGAAGCAAGCTTTGAAGATATGAAGAAAAGGTTGACAACCGCTCTAGTGCTAATTATTCCAGATATAGACAATGCGTTTGAGGTATATTATGATGCATCATATCAAGGGTTGGGATGCGTATTAATGCAAAACAGAAGACCAGTGGCATATGCTTCTCGTCAGTTGAAGATACACGAGCGAAATTATCCAACGCATGACATTGAGTTGGCAGCTGTAGTGTTTGCTTTGAAGACTTGACGTCACTATTTGTATGGAGCGAAGTTTTAGGTTTTCAGTGACCACAAAAGTCTGAAATACCTGTTTGATCAGAAAGAGTTGAACATGAGGCAATGGAGGCAAGAGTTGAACATCAGGTTTTCAGGAATATTTGAAGGACTACGACTTTGAGTTGCTTTATCATCCAGGAAAGGCAAATGTCGTGGCGGATGCTTTGAGTAGAAAGCGGGTTCAAATGTCAGCTCTGATGATCAAACAGTTAGACTTGATTAAGAAGTTGAGGGACATGAATCTCGGTGTTCATTTGGGTCAGGAACACATATGGTGTAGTCATCTGACAATTACGAGTAGTTTCTTGGAGCAAGTGAAGTCAGAACAAGAAACTGATCTAGAGCTGCAACGAATTGTGGGGTTGTTAGGAACTGATCAAGCCAAAGATTTTGTTTTGTGTTGGAATGGTGTTCTTCGGTTTCGAGGAAGAGTGTGTGTGCCGACAACAACAAATTTGCGAAGGTTGATATTGGAGGAAGGGCATAAGAGTAATCTTAGTATACATCCGGGAATGACTAAGATGTATAAAGACCTAAAAGAATCTTTTTGGTGGAGCGGAATGAAGAAGGATGTTGCAGAGTTCGTAGCTTCCTGTTTGGTATGTCAGAAGGCAAAGATTGAAGTGAGATATTACTGTTAGTGGAATTCACATATAACAATAGTTATCATTCTAGCATTGGGATGGCTCCTTTCGAAGCCTTGTATAGGCGAAGATGTCGAACTCCTCTCTGTTGGTTTCAAGATGGGGAAGCAGTATCAGTAGGTCCGGAGTTGTTGCAACAAACTACTGAAAAGGTGAAGTTGATTTAAGAAAGAATGAGAGCAACACATAGTAGATAGAAATTGTACGCTGATTGGAGAAGAAGGTCGCTTGAGTTCAATGAAGGGGATCATGTGTTCCTACGTGTGACGCCGATGGTAGGTGTGGGTAGGGCTATCAAGGCGAGGAAGTTGTCACCTAAGTTTCTCGGTCCTTATGAGATTCTTAGGCGGATTGGACCAGTAACGTATGAGATAGCGTTATCGCCGCAGTTGGCAAACCTGCATAACGTGTTTCACGTGTCTCAACTGAGGAAATACATTCCAGATCCTATGCATGTGTTAGAGGTTGATGATATACAAGTTCATGAAGATCTTACAATCAAAGCTCGGCTAGTCAGGGTGTTGGGGGTGCAGACGAAAAATCTGAGGGGAAAGGAAATTCGCACGGTGAAGGTATTGTGGAACGAGGAAACTCAAGAGATGACTTGGGAGCTTGAAGAGTTTATGAGAAAAGAATACCCGCATTTGTTCGCATAGTAGCCTTAATTTTCGAGGACGAAAATTTTTGGAGTAGGGGAGAATCTAAGACCCGTATAAATAAAATGATTTCTTACTTTAAGTATTTTATTTTGTGGTATTACATAATGAATTGTGATGTGAGACCATGTTAAGAAATAGTTAAGGAAGGAAAGAAAATCAAATTAATATTGGTTTTATATTAATTTTCGAAAAAGGTTGAAAAAGTATTTAAATATATATTTTTTGTGCTATTATATCAGTGGATGGAGTATGGTCTAGTGGTTGTTGTGTGCGTGCATGGGAGGGGTGTGCGTTTGGTCTTTATTTTGGCTCATGTGAGTATAGTGCTCGGTGGGTGCGCCTAACCGAAGTTTTTACTTGTAATTCCTTGAGGAGTCGGGGAGATAGGTCTGAAGTTGCGATGGAAGACGACTCGAATCGCCCTGTTTTGCAAAACAGGTTTGGTACGACAAAATTCAAGGAAACAACAGAAGCTTGTGATAATGATCTGAGTCATTGTTTCGAATACTGTGATGTATTGTGATGTTATGACTATGATAGTCTGGGTGGTGATGATTTGGGTTATGAGTTGAATAATGCGATGTATTGTAAGGTTATGACTAGGATCGTCTATGTTATGATGTTTTGACATTGAAATTATGTTATGTTAGGTTCTTAGTTACTCACCCTTTCCTTTTGTGGTTGTGGTTCCACCTACGATGATCGTACTTCTACAGGAGTAGATGGCGTTGCAGAAGGCAGAGATGGAGTAGCACGACGAGAGATATGAGAATAGCTATGGGGAATTTATCATGTGTTTAAAGTTATTTTATGTTTTTGAATAATGAATTTGATATTTGTAAGGTTTGAACCTTATGTTGTAAGACGCTTAGACTTCTGAGGTTTTCTTTCTGCGATGTTATCTTTAAAAGAAAAAAAAACTGGCGTAAATTTTGGTTTTCTGTTATTTTCTAGTGGCACTCTGTTAGGGGTGTTACAAGTGGTATCAAAGCCTAGCCTCTCCCAGTACGGTGTGGTTCGAGGACGAACCAAGCGGAAGTTAGTGGGCATGTGACACCCGGGCACTGACGAGGGCGGGGAGTGATCGCGGATGCAAGAGGCACGAAGTGCAAGAGGCACAAACAAAGAGCGGCTCCTGGCAGGCTTCCAGTGGGAGGGACACATGGAAGAATCAAACATGCACCTGAATGAGAGGGTTCTAGAGACTGTATAAGTATGAGACTATACAGTTGAAGGATAGCTTAAAGGAATTAATTTGGCTACTCATATCACCAAAATGCATTTGCTTTTCGGTAGCCTAACCCATAATAACTCTACTCACTCTACTGTCTTGTTTTTTAGGTTCTCACAAATTAAAATTTAATTTTAATTAAATTTAACCTAATAAAATATAATTTTATTTTATTTTTAATTAAATTTAATTAAAAATATATATAAATTAATTTTTATTATTTTTTATAGGTAACGGGTATCCGTGGGTCGGGTAGTATACTACCCATACCCAACCCGTTTAAAAGCGGGTATTAAAATACCCGCTACCCGTTACCCGCGAATAGTAAATATCAGTCGTAGATTTTATCCGCAAATACTCGTGTCTGCGGATTTTTTTGTCATCCCTAATCCTATGTGAAGGAAACCATGGATTAGTTTCACTGGTGGATTATCAGCGCTCCCACTTTCAACACAAAACCATCTATCATGTAAAATCATATTGAAAAAAATATGGTTCAATTAGTATTGTAGAAAATAATACAACTTCTCATTCTTATTTACAACAAAGTCTTACAAATTCAAATAAGTCTTTAGCATGTTCATGTTACATATCATTTATCAACACTGTTCTACCATTTTTTTTTCCGAATTCTCTTGGTTTTTCAACAAGAAGGTTAACTCACAATCAATGTAATCATGTTTCAATATTCTTGAAAGTAATTGACAATATACTTTGCTAGAGCCAAATGCAAGGTAAATGTCTCGTATGGAATGAAATTGAGCAATAAGAGCAAAACATATAAAATGAAAAGATCCACAAATTCAATGTCTTAAGATTTTGATCTAAAGGCAGTGTCATGGTCTCTTATATGTTTTTCACAACTCATGGTTCTCCAAACATTTTCTCATCAATTTAGTCCGAAAAGCAAGAAATATACAATCAAATCAATTTCTAAATTAGGTTTCATTATACTCATTGCTCTCAGTTAAGCAAAGAGTCACGAAACGGTGAAAATATTTTGTATGTGTTTGTTGGCATTTTTTAAAAATTAACGTATTGAAGTAAGAAATAGATTGATTAATCATTAAGTGTTCTATCTATCACCTAATTTCTTTCAATTACTACAAGATCCAATAAAGGTTTCTAATGAGATAATGACATGTTGTAATGGGTGTCATTAGCGTCGAGGAGGTTGACAATGGGCACGTCATTGGAATTCAAAAAGGGAGGAGTCGACGACAAGGTACGGTGGTCGGAGGTGACCTCGTTAACATTTTCGCTCTCTTACGTCTTATGATTATCTTCACCATTTTGTCACCAATCTCCCTTCTCCTCTTCCTTCTCTGAATTCACAAAAAACTGTTTTTGCACCATAAAGCTTAGTGATAGCCGTTTTAGTAATCAAAATGATAAGTAATTAATTAATTATTAATGTTCATCAAAATTCATCCCGTTTTAGTAAAACTAACTAAAATGGTCTATTTATTATATATTTTTAAAAAAATCAATTAAGATTATTCAAAGTCTGAATATTGAATTAAGATTTTAAAACTAATATAAGGACTAACAAGAATTTAAACCTAAATTCAAACTAACTATTCACCCTTATTATAATATCATTAGTTTATGCAATTATTTAATCAGAATAAAGATTAATTATAAAAGTTTTGAATGAGAAATTAAAATAAAAGCAACATTTTCAATCATTTAACGAATAAAGAGTAAATATATATTTTTTATTTTTTTAATATATATTGATTAAGGACTCATGGAACTCAGATGAAAAACATAAATAAAAGTAAAATGATAAGAAATATCATAACTAAATTTAAGAAAATAAAAGGTCTTATAAGAATTTTTGGGTTTTAAGAACAAAATCATAAAAATTATTCAAATCACACAAATTTTACAAATAAATTAAAAAATATATAACTAAACTGAAATAATAGAAGAGTTATCGAATATTGATTTTCTATCCCTTTACATGAGATTTTCTTTTTTTTATAGGACAACAACTTTCAGAAAAATTATTTAATCTGATTATTTTTAAAGAGAACGAAATCCAAATTACTTGACGTGCACTTCAACCGATAATGTAAAGTAATTAACATTAAATATTATAAAGGAAAAACAAACTTAAGGTATTCACTATTTGTATTCTTTCTTCTATTATGAAAAAAAAACAATAAGTCATCACCTCTACATTCATTTATCGTTGTTTGTCCTAAGAAAAAAAATTATCTTGCCCCGCTTGATTTGAAATATTAATTTTATAGCATAATATTTTTTATCATATAAGTCTTTTTTATAATAATTCATTTTATAGGTACATAAATGAAAAGTTAAATGTTATATGTTATTTTAATTATTAATTTTTAGTTGTGGCTTATTATCCTGCATTTTCATTTTAGTATTTATGTCTAATAATATTTAATTTCTTTTTTTAGTTCAAAATTAATTTAAGTACATCAAGAAATTTTCATTTTAACATTAATATTTTTATGAATCAATTTTAACCTTTGAATTTCAGTAAACAAAAGAATATTAGTTTAAAAAAATTATTGTTAAGCTAAAGGGTTTTCAGGTATAAAATATTTTCAAGATACCTTTTTGATTGGTAACTCAAAGAAATAAGATATTAATCTGATTCAAACATACAACATCAACGAGATCTGAGTCCATTTACATTAGAGATTGATATTACTCTTTACCCAAAATCTTAGAACCTTAAGGCAATAGGTTAATGAGTCTTCCCCTTTATATAATGCTCTACTTTCTCATTTCTATCCAATGTTGGACTTAGATTTACACTAATAATTCTAACAATTTCTCTACCTTATCTTCTAATGAATACTTTGACTTCTCTTGTTTTTCTTTTTTCCTTTTTGTACTTTGACTTTAAAACACTCAAACTCAATTCATTATGCTCAAACTCTTGAAGCTTATATAAGACCATGGTTTCTCGCACTTCTTCATAAATGAAGTATTGAGTTCTAGCCACTGCTAATTATGCATTATAATAGATAAATTACTTTTTCAAGATCTTCAAATTACTACTATGAAAATCAAATAACTCCTAATATAGCTCACAATATGAATTTTCATTAAAGAACTAAGCACAATGAAATTAAGCTAATCTCCTCCATCTTTTTTCCATACAATGTCCAACTTGCCAATATCTTTACTTGTAAGACAAGATCGTTTATAAGACTGGACCGTCTAACGTCTTAATATGTTTTGAAGTTTAATAAACAACAATAAAGAAAATGAACATATGACAAAGTATTATATTTGGAAAAGTAATATAGTTGGAAGATAAGTGTTTTGTGAAAAACCTTTATGAAATCTAAATGTTTTATGAAAAGCCTTAGTAAACACACTAATATCTTAGTAGATACACTACTAAACGATTTCCTCACAAAATGTGTCAATGTGCTATATGAGAGTCTTTCTAAACGCGATCTTGTTATACTTTGCTGAACAAGCTAGACGAACTCTCACAATAATGAGCAAAATAATGTTTTTGATAAACACGCTAAAAGATATAAACATTGCTCCAAAAGCATGCATTGAAAGACATCTTGCTAAACGCATTCTTAAACCAAACGAAGATCATTAAACAAAGAGTTGTTAGGAAACTCCTTATAGGCCAAACAATACCTTGTACCAAACGACGTTTTCGTCCAACGATGAAACCTTTATGAACTGATTGGAATCTCTACAGAAATGCTTAAATAATCAAATTTTGCTTGAGCAATAGAAAATTTGAAAAACTTATAGTTCT